TAGGGTTCGAGCCCACCCAGTCTTGCAGTAGCACTTTACACTTTGCAGGTGTGAAGCGTATGCCAAACCGCGAGGCAGAATTATTTAGATTATTTAGTATTGTTTGCATTGCCACGGGGTCAGATCCTAGAAGAGTTATGTCGTCTGCGTACTCGATGTCTGTGAGCGGAGGCCCAGGGAGCACTTCAACCCCACAGGCATTAGAGGCTGGTAGTGGGTCTTCCATGATCGTATCAATGACGAATTTGAAGAGGAAAGATGAAAGAGGACAACCCTATCGGACACCACTTGATGTGATGAACTCAGGAGAGAGCTTCCCGTAGACCTTTGCACGGCCGCGGGAGTTGGCGTACAGCGCCCTAATGAGGTTCAAGAATTTATGGGGGACACCTTTACTCCACAGACACTACCATAGTGCTTGGCGGTCCATAGAGTCAAAGGCAGCTATCAGATCAAGAAAAACAACCATTGTCGGTTGCTGGAAGCAGTGTCGCTGTTCCAGAATCTGCCGGAGGGTGAAGATATGAGCGATGCAACCTCTTGCAGGACGGAACCCAGCTTGGTCTTCACGGATCTGCCTCTCCCTGTGTTCAGTCAACCTTCGAAGGATAAGGCCAGAGAGCACCTTCGATGCCACAGCTAACAGGCTGATGCCATGGTGGTTTCCGCATAGCGTCCGTGTACCCTTTTTGAAGATAGGGATAACTGTCGGCCCCCCCCATTCTGGAGGCACTTGCTCTTCGTCCCACATAGTACCAATAAGCTTTGTCAAGTGGGTCGCCAGGGAATTTCCGTCTTAAAGAGGATTTGTCAAGTGGGTCGCCAGGGAATTTCCGTCTTCTTTAAAGAGGACTGGATACAAACCATCCGGTCCTGGTGCCTTCTCACGTTTCAGTAGGGCTCTTTCATACCTTATTTCTTCTTCCGAAGGGCGACGAAGGCTTACATTCCATTCGCCCGTATGCATTATCTCCACCGGCAGTTTTGCAGGAGGCCAGCTGAACTGCTCTGCGAAGTGTTCGGCTCATCTCTCCAGTCGAAATTTTTGCGAGCAAATTAATGAGCCATCTTTTTCACTTATCGTTTCGCTGATCGTTGCTTTTCTAGAGGCAGTCGATCGTATCAGTTGATAAAGGGCACGGCCGTTTCCCGTAGCAAAAGCCTTCTCCATCTCCCGAGCTTTCGATATCCACCAGAGCTC